AGAAGGGAGCCCAGTATGGGATTAAAACTACATAAAAATAAACCCATGTCCAACAAAAGAAGTTTTAAAATAGATTTCTGATAAATACCTCTACCCTCCAACAGCTATTCCTAACTACCTTTCACGAATAGAAACAAATGAGCATTTAAACACTAGGGAGAACACTGGCCTCACTTCTGAGGCAAAGAACACACATGATCTACATGATGAATTTCAGATGAAAAGCTACTTTAATATGACTTCAAGGGAGGAAGTAATTCTTATTCCAAATGTTACTGAGTAATATGAGTATCAGTTCAAAAAATGGAATGCACAATAGGTCAACTGGCTAGTTCCACAAATATTTTTGCTGATATAATCATTCAATTTTGGAAGATGGTTTCTTTCTGACAAAAGGAAATCACTTTCCAGAAGTTAAGGATAAATGATTTTTAGTTGTTTGTTGTGGGATAATTTTCTACAATTTATTATAAGCACTGTCAGTGGTTTCTAAATAATTTTCATCAAAACACACTTTTGTTACGAAATAGAGTTTTACCCATTTTTTCAGTTCTTACCTACTTCTCTCACTCTTCACTATAAACTTCTAGTTCACATGCCTCCACCTATCACAAAGCTGTTTTGTCATTTCTACAGTTATTAGACTCTCATTTTTTTCAAACCCACTGTTACTCCCATTACTCATATCCTAGAATCACTTTTTTCCAACCTCAAGCTAATTCACAAAGCTTTATTTTCTCTTCCTGCTTTCTACATAGAAGAACCTTCACAGGTCACCATCTTATTTGGGTTACCAAATACTGAGGGAAAGGGAGAATGGGAAATTATTGCATAATCATTACTGAGTTTGTTTGGAGTGACAAAAAAGTTTTAGAAACAAACAGTGGTAATGATTGCACAACACTATGAAAGCACTTAACACCACTAAAATCAACATTTGAAAATGGCCAAAATGACAAATTTTGTTATATATCTTTTATCATAACAAAAAAATCAATAATGCAATATACCAAAAAACTACTGAGTCAGTCACCTGAAGTGGATGAACAGTACAGTGTTTGAATTATATCTCCACAAAGATTAAAAAAAATACCTGGAGGTGTACTACGTTTACAATTATGTTAAAAACAGGTAAAAAAGAAAAAGGGTTGTAAGTAAATTTTTATTTAAAACCTCACTATCTGTGATTATGCAAAAGTAGTAGGTCCTTAAAAGTTTTTGTTTTTCAAGCCTCTCAGTAACATGATTATATTTTTGTTTTCTGTTGTCAAAGTTACATCTCGTTTGCCATTGTGACTCCTAATATCCTGCACGTAACTCGGCACAGTGGCTGGGCCTTAAATATTTTCTGAATAAATGAATATATGTTGCTTCTTTTCTTAATTAAAAAATAAGAATGATGTTTAGTAATCCAAGGGTTACTACTATAAGAAATTACTTAATATATGCTGGTGGTATGTAACAGAGAAGAACAAACAACACTTTGGACTAACATATTTCTATCTAAAGAACATCATCTAGAGTACAGAAAAACAGGTACAACATAATATTTGATGCTTGAAGCACCTATGCATCAGACTATCCCATTTAAAGGCGTTCACAAAACCATTCAGTAAGCTGTGTTATTAGATACTTCACATCCTACATGCAAAATCTTAACTGTCACAAAGGAGGTTACATTTTAAAGAGGCGAAGTTAAAAGGAAGAAGTATGAGGGCACCATAGTCTTCAAATGCTACACAGTGTCAACTAGAAGAGCAATCAGAGTCAGATTTATTCTTAACTCTTAAAAATCCAAACTAGAAACAATGAGGCTATGCCTATAGTACGAAGTACAAATATGGGAAGCCAAAGCTTGACTTCTTATAAAGAATTTTCTACCAGAGATATGCAAACTAAAGTGCACTGCTTTCTGAAATAATGTGTTCTTTATCACTGATAATGTTAGGCGTTAGACCCAGAAATACTGTGAAAAACATTAGTGCATTGAGGAAGTATACTAAGTTGTCACAAAAATCCCTTCAAACTTAGTCTCTGACTTTCTGACACAGGACGAGCAGGGTGTGTATTTACCTCTTCTGTCATTCCAGCACGAATCAGAGTGAAAAGATATTTGAGTAATCTGACTTCATCTTCTCTATCCAGATCATCAAGTGGCATCTTCTGTCTTATAGGAGCATCAGGGTCCTACAAAAATTAATTAATCAACTATAAATTCTTTATATGCATATATAATTTAAACATCATTGAGACATGATAAACGTCTGAGTTTATATACTGAAATAAACTAATTTAATTTAGTTAGGTAACAAAGGGAATTGAAAAAGTCGTAAGTGTTCCAAATAGACATAATTGTCTGCTGCCCATTCAAAACAGACTCCACTGGTCCACAAAGCTGCATGCCTTAGTCAAGGCAAGGCAGAGATATCACTAGCCCAGCCCAGAAACTCTAGAAATTCTACTCATAATTTAAGTAGACTTGAGTTCTACCCTGCTGTAGCAACTATGTGGCCAAGTTAATCCTAACTAGAATTAGGCCTGGATGGAGAATGAGCAGAGAAACTCCAGGAATCACAATGCAGGCAGTNTGGTCTTTATCTTTCTGGCTTACTTCGCTCTGTATAATGGGCTCCAGTTTCATCCATCTCATTAGAACTGATTCAAATGAATTCTTTTTAATGGCTGAGTAATATTCCATGGTGAATTAATTTGTTTTAATGTTGGCAAATCAGAAATACTTTCTAGACTCTCTTTTACAATTTACAATCCATAGGCCACAGACGGGCTCAATACATGCCATTAAATTCAAATGCAACTTAGTACTTCTTAAGATTTAAACAGTATATGCAGTCCTTCAGAAATCTAAAACAAGGATTCAAGAGAAGAAAATTCTCAGTCTTTAAGAAAATCACTTAACTTTGAGGGCAACTTTCATTTCAAAGAACACTTACCAATTCAGTAACAAGAGGACGGACACTTCCTATATGAGAAGATAGTTGCCGCTGTTTCAAGGTATGCAGAGTATTTTCCCTGAAAATATATGTACAACTTCTTTTTAGGAGAACAATTTGCATATGTCTACTTAAAGAATCAAGTCAAGTCACAATAAGAGTACCAACTCAGGAAAAACATGCAAAACACTAACACAAAAGGGCATTTTAGTTCAGACAACTAATGATGTTGAACATTTTTTCATGACTTATTGACCATTTATTTATCCACTTTTGTAAGGTATCTCTTCAGATCTTTGTCTTTTTTATTGGGTTATCTCTTTGTTACAAGTTGGAGTTCTTTATGTTTCTTCCAGTCTGTGGCTTGCCACCAATTCATTTTGTCAATTATATCTTTTAATAAGAATTTTTAATTTTGGTAAAGTCAAATCACTCTTTCCCTATTACTGTTTTCTGTGACAATCACTTATTCTCCAAGTCACAAAAATGTCCTCTTATATTTTCCTCTAAAAAGCTTTAGGTTTTAGCTTTTACAACTGGGATTATGATCCATCTTGAATTAACCATTGGGTACAGTGCAAGGGGGGGCTTCCCAGGTGGTACTAGTGGTAAAGAACCCACCTGGCAATGCAGGTTAGACCTAACAGATGCAGGTTCAATTCTTGGGTCAGGAAGATTTCCTGGAAGAGGGCACAACAACCCACTCCCATATTTTTGCCCGGAGAATGCCGTGGACAGAGAAGCCTGGCAGGCTACAGTCCACAGGGTCACACACAGTCAGACACAACTGAAGCGACTTAGCATGCACACATGGTGCAAGGGAGGTGTCAAGGCTAATCTCTGTTCACAGAGACATGCAGTTTTCTCTGAATGGTTTGTTCAAAGAACATTTCTTTCCATCCTGGGCTGCTTCGATGCCTTATTAAAAATCATATGACCATATATGTGTGGCTTTGTTTTAGGATTCTCTACTCTTTTTTATTGATTGGGAAAAAAAAAAGGAGACCAACAGGTAAAAACTTGCAAAAATCTTAACAGGTAATTAAACAAATTTTTTTTTCTGGTGCTTCTCTGGTGGCCCAGTGGCTAAGACTCCACACTCGCAATGCAGGGGTGGGGGCCTGGGTTTGATCCCTGGTCAGGGAACTAGATTCCACTTGCCACATAGTTAAACAAGCATTTTAAAATTTTTTCTGAAAATTGAAATTTCCTTCAGAAAAATCAACACTAATCAACATTTAGGATTTTTTAAAAAATATACATTTGGTAACATTAATTTTCTAGTTGAGCAGAAAAAAATTGATTTGCAGACTTTACATACGTTACTGAATTCAAAGGTAAACTAAACGCTTCTCGTTTTTTATATTATTTTTTATTGTTTCTGCTGTAGAGCAAAGTGAATCAGCTACATGTGTACACATATCCCCGCTTTTTTGAGTTCCTTCCCATTTAGTGAACTTTTTCTTTAACTCTTAAAATAACTGTCCCTTTAACCTGGGGGTTGCTTTCTGGTTTCAAGGTTTTAACAATAAATTAGAAGCACTGCAGAATATAGAGAAAAGGGGGAAAAAACACACACATAAGTAGCTAGAAACACGGTAGAATTTTCTTGATGCTCAAACTATGATTATTTAGAAAATATAACAAAGTGAGTGCCTGATAACATGATCATGTCATTCTTTTATTCTTGAGGCTTCCTATCACATTTAGGATAAAGTTCCAAACCTTTAGCTCGGCTGACTGTCAAAGTCCTATATTAGCTGGCTCTCTTCAATCTCATTAACTACTGTTCTTTTTCTTTGCTGTGTTCACACTGGCCTTCATGTGCAAATACTTTACCTTCTGAAAGTCTCTGCAGTTCCTGCTCTTGCCCAGAGCACTCGTCACTCAAGTTTTGCATGCCTGACCTCCTTTATTTCTTAAAAGCCTCTCACTCTTACTACCTGTAACCGTATTTCTCCAGAGAGGCTTTCCTCGGTCACCTCTTCTACTTAAAGTAACTCCCATTACTATCCTCTATCCAACAACTCTTGATTCCTTTTTCTTTCAAAGCTATTAACACCTAACAGGATGTATTTACTTGCCGTCTTACACAATTATAAATCCCATAAAGGCAGGGCTTTTATGTTTTGCTCACAGACCAAATTCAGCAAGAAGTGAATAAATGTTTGTTGAAAAATGAATCAACAAAATCAACATTAAGTGACTTCAGGAATAAAAGTTTAGTGACTTACCAATACACCGATTTTGCATAAAATTCAATATTATCAGAAAAATCTCCAATTTCATCTTTGGCAATGCTTTCTAACCAATCTACCACCAGCTAGGGAAGGGGGTGAAAAAAGAGCATTAACTATAAATTTTGCTAAGGGTTTTATCTGAAGTAGTACTACTCCTACAATTAAAAAAAAGTTTCTAATTCAAAAAACACCAAGTAACAATTTTTTCTACCACTATTTTTACTTTTTAAAGATGTAGAAATATTATGGCAAAATAAATTTTCTAGAAGAATAATACAGTTAACAGACTATTCCTGTAAATGCTAGGGCTATTATTTGAAAACTAAAAAACAAGGTGCTTACTTCCTTATAATTATAAATTAAAAGATGAAAAAGAAAAAAGTTTAAGGAAAAAGTTTCAAACCTAAAAAACTTCATTTTTTAAATGTCATTTACCTTTTCTCCATATTTCAACCCCAAAATGTGAAAACTCTAGTCATACCTGACTTTGTCGCACAAGTGAATCTCTCTGAAACAATGCTTCCACAACTGCTTTTTCACTGGCATTAAGAGCCTATTTAAAAAAATTGATGGAAAAAAAGAAAAGAAGATACTCAAGGAACATTATCTCAACAGAATGGTAAAAGAGAATCTGAAATAAGTGTATTTCATCACCCATAACTATTTTAAGACAGCAAATCTGTATATCCACCTTTGAAAATTTTTTATAAATAAATTTCAAATTGCTAGATCAATGAGCAGCTACTCTTACTTGATATTTTAATTCTTGGTTACACTTAAAATTTTTAAGTTCTATTTCTCCAGAGATGTTGTTTTAGAGAACAATAAAATATAAAGCAAAATGAAACAATTAATAATAAAGGGCAGGATGCAGTCATGAGGCATATTAGGAAATTAACATTAAAAAATTTTTAAATCTTTTCATTCTACACAGAAGTTGACAGATGATAAAACTTAAGAACAATCCAAGGTTCTAAAGACTGACTTAGACAACTTGACATAAATATTAACAAGTTATATCAAGCAATACAGTACAAGGATAACACACAATGACCAAATCTATTAATTAATTCATCTTATTCATGGTTCAAGGAAAAGAGAAACACATGAATCTTGCAAACATGTATGTGTGCTCAGCCGTGTCCAACTGTTTGTGACACCATGGACAGTAACCCTCCAGGCTCCTGTCCATGGGATTTTCCAGGCAAGAATCCTGGAGTCAGTAGACATTCCCTTCTCCAGGAGATCTTGATAGATGCCAAAATGTCATTTGATAAAAATACCCTCATAAATTAGAAATAAAAGAATATTTTGCCAATGTAATGGAGTATCTATTAAGAGTTGAAGCCTAGAGCAAATATACTTAACTATAAAGAAAGATACTCCTTTTAGAAGATGGAAAAAATAAGAATTGCTGTAATTATTCAAATTTACTGTGAAAGTTCTAGCTAATATATAAAACCAGAAAAAGCACTAAGTAGTTAAAAATATGGAAAAAGAGTCACAGTCATCACTATTTGTAGATTAACAGGAATGCCTACCTAGAATACCATGATAATCAACAAAAATCTATTAAAACGTATAAGTGAGTTCAATAAATAGCCAAATATAAGATAAATAATCTTCCAAGATGTGCATCTCATTGGCTGGGAATGAAATAAGTATTTGTAGAATAAATAAAAGATTGAAAAAATATTTTGAAATATCTTAAGTGAAAACGTAAGTTAACAAACATGGTTGAAGTCATTTATTATAAAATAAAAGTATCTTTTCTTCTTTTTTTTTCTTTTCTTCTTTTTTTTTCTTCTTTTTTTTTCTTTTCTTCTTTTTTGACTATTCATAGTTGCTTTAAACATAGGTTACTTTTTGTAATGAGAACGCAAAAAACAATTAAACCCTAAAAGAGCACCTGGTCTTTATGGTTTTAAAGGCATATTTTTACCAAGGATTCAAAGAACAGGTTAATTACTATAATATTCAAACAAAGCACACGCACGCGCGCGCGCACACACACACACACACACACACACAGCCGGAAGATGTGCAGAGCTGGCACAATTCTAGGCACTAGAACTAGATAAGAAAAAGTCACTGAAAAGGAAAATATATCTGGGAAACTTCTAAAAAAAATTAGCTAATAAAATTTAGTGGCATATTTAAGAATATATCATGACTCAAAGTTTATTCTGTTTGAGGATAGTTGAACATTAGGAGAACTATTAATGCAAACCATTATGCTAATAAATTAAAACAGTTATCTATAGGACTTCCCTGGCGGTCTAGTAGTTAAGAATCCACCTGCCAATGCAAGGGACATAGGTTTGATCCCTGGTCTGGGAAGATTCCACATGCCACGGAAAACTAAGCCCATGAACTTTAGAGACCATGTGCTGCAACTAGAGAAAACCCAGTGCAGCCAGAAATAAATTTAAAACAGGTATCTACAGAAGATAAAAAGCACTTGACTGCAACTCTTAGCTAGTTAGGAGAAAAAAAATTCTTATTCTTCACTAAAAACAAAATCATTCTTATCAAAAGTCAAGTACAAGAAAGGAATACCTGCTATCACTGATATAACTGTATGGGAGTTCTTAGTCCATGATATTAGGCAAGGGAGTTCTTAGTTCATGATGTAAGGCAAGTAAGAGGAACAACAGACTATGGACTTCCTTGGTGGTCCAGGGGATAGGAATCTTCCTGAGAATGCAGGGGACATGGCTTTGATCCCTGGTCCAGGAAGATTACACATGCTGTGGAGCAACAAGCCCATGTGCCACAACTATTAAGCTTGAGTGCTAGAGCTTCCAGGCTGCAACCACTGAGCCTGTGTACCCCAACTACTGAAGCCCACTCGCCCACGGCCCGTGCTCCACAACAAAAGAAGCCACAGCAATGAGAAGCCCAGGCAATGCAAGCAAGAGTAGCCCTCGCTCGCTGCAACCAGAGAAAGCCCATGCAAGAAAGGAAGACCCAGCACAGTCAAACAAAATTAAAAAATAAAGAGTAAAACGTTCCTGAAAAATATAACAGAGTAGAAGGATTAAAAGAAATTATTAGTAGATGATTTCTGCCAACAGGGAAAACCCAATAAAATCACATTTAAAACTTACTGGAGCTAATGAGAGGTCCAAAAGATGGTCAAATATGAGCTTTACATGTAAATCATGATTTGGCAGTGATAATTAATTAGAATATGTAATAGGAAAGGAACATTCTCAACATTTCTCGTACTGTGACCATGTGAACTAGTACATTTCATCAGGAAGCCAGCACGACAATCTCTCAAACTCTGTCCCAACGATTTCACTTCCAGAAATACAGGAGATCGTCGAATATGTAGGTAAGTGTGAATGTTCAATGCATTAGTTACTATAATAAAATTACGGGGAACAATTTAAGTATGTCCAGCAGAATGTCTGAAAATACCATGGACAGTAACCCTCCAGGCTCCTGTCCATGGGATTTTCCAGGCAAGAATCCTGGAGTCAGTAGACATTCCCTTCTCCAGGAGATCTTGATAGATGCCAAAATGTCATTTGATAAAAATACCCTCATAAATTAGAAATAAAAGAATATTTTGCCAATGTAATGGAGTATCTATTAAGAGTTGAAGCCTAGAGCAAATATACTTAACTATAAAGAAAGATACTCCTTTTAGAAGATGGAAAAAATAAGAATTGCTGTAATTATTCAAATTTACTGTGAAAGTTCTAGCTAATATATAAAACCAGAAAAAGCACTAAGTAGTTAAAAATATGGAAAAAGAGTCACAGTCATCACTATTCGTAGATTAACAGGAATGCCTACCTAGAATACCATGATAATCAACAAAAATCTATTAAAACGTATAAGTGAGTTCAATAAATAGCCAAATATAAGATAAATAATCTTCCAAGATGTGCATCTCATTGGCTGGGAATGAAATAAGTATTTGTAGAATAAATAAAAGATTGAAAAAATATTTTGAAATATCTTAAGTGAAAACGTAAGTTAACAAACATGGTTGAAATCATTTATTATAAAATAAAAGTATCTTTTCTTCTTTTTTTTTTCTTTTCTTCTTTTTTGACTATTCATAGTTGCTTTAAACATAGGTAACTTTTTGTAATGAGAACGCAAAAACAATTAAACCCTAAAAGAGCACCTGGTCTTTATGGTTTTAAAGGCATATTTTTACCAAGGATTCAAAGAACAGGTTAATTACTATAATATTCAAACAAAGCACACGCACGCGCGCGCGCACACACACACACACACACACACACAGCCGGAAGATGTGCAGAGCTGGCACAATTCTAGGCACTAGAACTAGATAAGAAAAAGTCACTGAAAAGGAAAATATATCTGGGAAACTTCTAAAAAAAATTAGCTAATAAAATTTAGTGGCATATTTAAGAATATATCATGACTCAAAGTTTATTCTGTTTGAGGATAGTTGAACATTAGGAGAACTATTAATGCAAACCATTATGCTAATAAATTAAAACAGTTATCTATAGGACTTCCCTGGCGGTCTAGTAGTTAAGAATCCACCTGCCAATGCAAGGGACATAGGTTTGATCCCTGGTCTGGGAAGATTCCACATGCCACGGAAAACTAAGCCCATGAACTTTAGAGACCATGTGCTGCAACTAGAGAAAACCCAGTGCAGCCAGAAATAAAATAAATTTAAAACAGGTATCTACAGAAGATAAAAAGCACTTGACTGCAACTCTTAGCTAGTTAGGAGAAAAAAAATTCTTATTCTTCACTAAAAACAAAATCATTCTTATCAAAAGTCAAGTACAAGAAAGGAATACCTGCTATCACTGATATAACTGTATGGGAGTTCTTAGTCCATGATATTAGGCAACAGAGTTCTTAGTTCATGATATAAGGCAAGTAAGAGGAACAACAGACTATGGACTTCCTTGGTGGTCCAGGGGATAGGAATCTTCCTGAGAATGCAGGGGACATGGCTTTGATCCCTGGTCCAGGAAGATTGCACATGCTGTGGAGCAACAAGCCCATGTGCCACAACTATTAAGCTTGAGTGCTAGAGCTTCCAGGCTGCAACCACTGAGCCTGTGTACCCCAACTACTGAAGCCCACTCGCCCACGGCCCGTGCTCCACAACAAAAGAAGCCACAGCAATGAGAAGCCCAGGCAATGCAAGCAAGAGTAGCCCTCGCTCGCTGCAACCAGAGAAAGCCCATGCAAGAAAGGAAGACCCAGCACAGTCAAACAAAATTAAAAAATAAAGAGTAAAACGTTCCTGAAAAATATAACAGAGTAGAAGGATTAAAAGAAATTATTAGTGGATGATTTCTGCCAACAGGGAAAACCCAATAAAATCACATTTAAAACTTACTGGAGCTAATGAGAGGTCCAAAAGATGGTCAAATATGAGCTTTACATGTAAATCATGATTTGGCAGTGATAATTAATTAGAATATGTAATAGGAAAGGAACATTCTCAACATTTCTCGTACTGTGACCATGTGAACTAGTACATTTCATCAGGAAGCCAGCACGACAATCTCTCAAACTCTGTCCCAACGATTTCACTTCCAGAAATACAGGAGATCCTCGAATATGTAGGTAAGTGTGAATGTTCAATGCATTAGTTACTATAATAAAATTACGGGGAACAATTTAAGTATGTCCAGCAGAATGTCTGAAAAAAATTATGGTACATTTATACTTTACCGTACTATGAAAAAATAAGGTAAACATGTATGAATTGACATGGAAAAAACTAAAAAATATTGGTGAATAATAGTGGACCTTCCTGGGGGATGAGAATCCGCCCGCCAGTGCAGGGACACAGGTTGAACCCAGGAAGACTCCACACGCCACAGAGAAACTAAGACCCTGAGCCGCCACCAACGAGCCTGCCGACTACAGCTGCTGAAGCCCATGCACTCAGAACCTGCGGGTCTCAACAGGAAAAGTGACCACAGCGAGGAGCCTGCTCACCGAAACTAGAGAGCCCGCACAGAGCAGTGAAGACCCAGGGCAGAGAAAAATGTAATAAATTTTTTAAAAAAAATTTAAATTAAAAAAATGAAAACTCTCAGTATAATGTATAAATGAGAGTATACTATATGGTTAAAAAAAAAGAGAGAGAACCCCCTCTCCCCCCACCCAAACTATCCCTGCCAAACGAAAGCCAGGGAGACTAGACAAAAGGTACTGCCATAATTCCTAAGAAAAATGATGGAAGTTTTGGCTTAAGTGGTGGCAACAGAAACAAGATGAGGGATCAGAAATGCAACAGGAGACAGAGTCAGCAAAGTCTGATACACAATGTGCTGTTGCTTCTGAGATGAGGCAGAGACCAGTCTGGACCCTGGTTACTCAAAGTGCAGTTTACAGACCAACTACACCAGCACCATCTGGGAGCTTGTTAAAAATGCAGACTCGCAGGCCCATCCCAGACCTACCTAGTCAGAATCTGCACGTTAACAAGATCCCCAGGCGCCTGATGTGCACAACAAAGTTTGATAAGTGCTGGCTTAGGGAATGTTCATTGGTCATGGTGCTACCCACTGAAAAACAAGAGTGGGTTTGACTTTTGACAGGTTGGACTTATGGTACTTGAAAATTATTTTGCTTTTTGTAAATCCATGGCTAATTCATTTCAATGTATGACAAAAACTACTGTAATGATGTAAAGTAATTAGCCTTCAACTAATAAAAAATAAATGGAAAAAAAAAAAAAGAAATACATTTGACCCTGGAACAACGCAAGGGTTAGTCAGGGTTATCGAGCCTCCTTGTACTCGAAAGTCCAAATATAATTTTACAGTTGGTTCTCTATACTGCCGGTTCCTTTGTATTGGAAGTTCTGCACCTGAGAATTCAACCCACTGCAGATGGCCTAACACTGTAGTATGGGTTTAGTGGGAAAAAAAAATGTGCATATTAAGTGGACCCATGTTGTTCAAGAGCAAGCTGTAGAAGGTGCTGACTTCTGAAGGGGGGCAAAGTGGCTAGGTTCCCACAGGTCTGCTGGGAGGTGAAGAAAACTGTGAGAAGACGATTTACAGAATGAGAGAGTCAGGTGACTCATCCCTTCAAGCTCTATCTTCTCTCTGCTTGGAGTCTCTAGGAGAGGACAGAATACATTCAGCACTGCAGACAAGTCTGCATGATTTAACAATGTGACTAATACCTGGCGTGCTGCAGTCCATGAGGGTGCAAAGAGTTGGACACGACTTGGCAACTGAATAACAACGAATACCTTTACTAGGGACCAAGTCACTGCAACAGCCGACCCAAACTGCACTAAAAAAAAAAAGCTTCTGCTGAATGGCCTAAGGGACAACTCCTTCAAATTTCCTTGAAATTCAATGTTTCAAGTTCAGTGAAACAAACCCTTCATTGTCTTAGAGGGTCCTTTGTCTGAAGGAAGGCATTTTTAGAACACTGTGATTGCTCTTTCCAAGGTTTAACTAAATATTCAAAATGACATTCTCAACTTGATCTTAAAAAACACCCATAAAACTTGTGTATATATATGTATAAAGATGCAAAGAAAATGTCTGGTAGGATACATACTAAATTGTTAGACTGAACAGTACGAAGGCTAAAAGAGAACTTACACCTTTCACTCTACAGTGTACATCAGTTTTGCTTACTGTACCTTTTATTTACTTGTAAAATTTTTAAAATGGAGAAACTCTAGATGGAGGGTCAAAAATCAAGTTCTACTATTAAAACCATTTAAATGTTTAAGCATTTATAAAGGAAAAACCAACATAAAACTTACAGTAATTGCAAACATACTTTCATCTTCTAATGCAGACTGTATTCGGTCTCTGGGGAAAAACAACACAAAATGAAAAACCTTATTTCACAAGAGTAAATGAAATCACCATTAAGCTAATACATGCACAAACCTGCATTCCATCTGGGGTAACTCAGCCAACATGCTTTCAAAACAAGAATCAAGTAGTAAATGCCTTCTGACTCTAATATTGACAAAAATCAGGTTAGTTCAGTCGCTCAGTTGTGTCCGACTCTTTGGGAACCCATGAACCGCAGCATGCCAAGCGTCCCTGTCCATCACCAACTCCCAGAGCTTGCTCAAACCCATGTCCATCGAGTCAGTGATGCCATCCAACCATCTCATCCTCTGTTGTCCCCTTTTCCTCCTGCCCTCAATCTTTCCCAGCATCAGGGTCTTTTCAAATGAGTCTGTTCTTCACATAAGGTGACCAAAGTATCTTTAGAAGTGGATAAAAATTTTTGAAAAGGTAAGTCTTAGGATCTGCTTTTTGGAACATATATATATATATATATATATATATATA